TTTCCAGCGCCTCTCGCTTCTGTCCCAGACCTTAGTGTAAACCTCTTTTTGTTCAAAATGAGATTTGTAAATGATCAAGTGCTACCAGTGGTAGAAGCTTGGCTGTGCAGCTGAGAGCAGCAGGTAGGGCAGGATTTGAAATACCCATGGTTTAGCACACTGAAAAAAGCTCCATCTTGAGCTGGAAAAGCAAACAGGTAAGGCAAGGAGGGGATAAAAGGAAACATGTACAGTCAGTGTCTGATAAAAAGTGCAGTGGGAGTGAAGGAAATAGCATGTTTGGATCCCTTTTGGATCCCTTAGGGCAAAGGCCCAACCACATGTTAAACTGTCCCTGTCTTTATCTTGTGATGACTGATTGATAAAATATGCCTAACAATAGAATATTGAGCTCTGGCTCCTCTTCTGCTAATGGAATAAACACTTGTTTTTCTGAGGCTTAGCAAGCTGTAAAATGAGGAAGGACGTGCTGTACCTGATAGTTTGTTCACTTAAACTCAGCTCAGACTCTGTGCCCAGAAAGTCAGCAGGGCTGCCAAGGCCAGAATAGGAGTTAATGAAGCGCTGTGCTCTGCTTGTCAGAATCCTGATGTCTGACATTATCATCAGAGACCTGGGTGCCCTTCTTCTTTCTGAGAATTAACCAGATGAAATCCCATTCTTCAGAGCTCTGAAAGCTTTAAAAGCACACAAGCTGCCTCAGCTAGGATTTTGATTTTTGGCCTGTTGCTCTTAATAATAGAAATCATGCTTAAAAAGAGTAATTTTCCAGATTCTGCTCTGTGATCAGCCACAGGAAGCTCAGTAAAATTACATGATATAAAAGGGCAGAGCTACATGAAATTAATGTCTCTGCAGCCTGCAGAGAAATTTGAAAGAATATTAAGAACCAGAAAAGTAAAACAAAGCTTCTAATAATAGAAAAAATATATAACAACCTAAAGTCTCCTGATTTGGCTTACTCCCAGGCACAAAGGAGAAATTTTCTTTTAACTGAAATGGATGTATGGGATCAGACTATAATAGCTTGCTGGCTCTAATCTCTCTTGATTTGGGACTTGTTATAGCAGACTGCTCAGCAGCTTGGTGGGATGCAGCAATTTGGTGGGTTGTTGACTGCCTTTAAGTCCCATTGCAAACAAGAGTTTCGGAGAGGGAAGACTCATTATTTTTGAGGTAATTATCAGCTCACTCTCCCAGTTAAATGGCTAAGCATACTATGCATGAGTGGATTGGAAGGCCAATGCTGTAGTGTTTTTTTTTTTTTTCAGTTTCACAAACGTGTTGACATGGAAATACGTCCTCATTTTATTTTAAGAGTGTGTTTATGATGGTGATAAGGGCAGATCCCCTAGCCCTGGAGATGAAGCACTGGAGCATTGGCTCTGCGAGCTTCCCTGCTCAACTCTCCTAACATGTCTTTGCTCCAAACCCAGCCAGCTTCTTTGTTGTGATGGCTGTGCAGCTGTCTCGTCTAGCTCCTGGCTGCTTAGAGTGAAAAAAAAAAATCTTAAGATATAATTCGTTTTTTTTGGTGTATTTAAAGGACACCGCTAGGAATGACACGCTAGGGCATCCAGTTTGTCTTCCTGCTTCTCACAACTCATTAACTTTGCAGAGCACAGGTACTATTGCTTGTGCTTGTAACATGTTCACAATATATTAGGGGTCTAATACTGCACAAAATACTTGTTTTGTCTAGTATAGAATAAATTCAGCTCAGTAGCATTTAAGGGTTATCTGTGTTAGGTTCTTTTATTTACAGATTTTTATCTGCAAGTGGCATGCTGCACTCTGACGCATGAAGTGCTTAGCCAAGTACAGAAGCCTCTTCTGCTTTTGCAGAAGAGCTTCAGAGAAAAGCTGTGGGGAGTGTGCTTGGGCCTCCTCATCACCCCTGAGAGAGGGTGACAGCACTTTCCCAACTGCCTGGTTGCAAGGAATTGTTGGGGGCATAACATGTACCTGCATAAAATAGTAGTAACACTCTTCCCATGCCTGCGAAACTTCCACCTTTCATTTCCTTCTCCATTGCCTGCTGTTGCTTCTATAACCTTTCTTAATGATGGATGGGTGTCTTCTGCAGTGGTCAGATTTAAACATTCCCTTACTCCCCAAAAGACACAAGTGTTCACAGCATGTCAGGTGGGAACGTGACACCCAGAAGGAAGGCTCTATCTTAACTGTACAGCCCAATGCTAAGGATGTTGCCAGCATCAACGATGGATCCAAGTTTGAACGAGTTTTGTCTATTGCAGTTTAGGGACACAGAATCTCATCTTTAATATACCTGACAATATGTCAGCTGTAGAGACTCTTGCATGCAGTAATATACTTGCATTGTAAAAATATTAACAAGAAAAACAGCATAATTAGTGCTGTGAGACAGCAAATGCATGTGCTTGCTGCTTGCACCCTGTTTTCCATTTCAGCCTGTCAGACCAATTACTTTAATTAAACTTCTATCTGGGCCTTCTTGACAATTCTACCTCTAATGATGAAAATATGTATGAGGATGATCTGGATGAGGGAGGCAGAACTTGTTGTTTTCCAGCAGTTCTGCATTACTATCAATATCACATGAAAGTAGGGCACTTACTTTCATTGGGAAAAGCAACATGAATGTGTCACGCTCATTTTCATTAGCAGAAGGGAGGTTCTTTGCTGTTCCCTCTCAAACACTCCATGGGTGAAGAATTTGAGCCAGTGCTTTGGAAGAGAAATGCAAGCATTGTTAATTGCACTTAGATTAATATTCTGAGTAATTTACAGAAAACACTTTCCTGGCAAATTCATTAAGTAGTAGAATAATCCCGTTGGGTAATTACCATATTGTCAAACTGTTTTTAATCATGTTTTGTTCTTCTCCATGCAAAAGCAGTGCTTGCAAGATCTGCCATAATTAGACGCACTGTTGAAGAAGTGAAGAAAAGGCCATGAGTAAGTGATACAGTTCCCTAGGCAATGGAATATCTGAAAGCTGTGGGGACAGCACATTAAACAATATTCTCATTGTCTTGCACGTTTGCACACCAAACCATGTCCTACTTGGTTCTGCACTGGAAGCTGTCTTGCAGGCTCTCTCAAAACTGGGCACATAACTGCTTTATTTTTTTACTGAGATGATAGTGTAAGAAAAGGAGGTTACACATCTTACACAGCTTCCCTGCTCTTTTAACAACCTCTGTGTATGAAGAAGAAAATAGATATTTTAGGGTAGTGAAAGTTACCATTTTCATATTATTCTTAAGACTTCAGCTGTTTTATCAGCCAAGATAAAACTCAAGTTTCTCAAACTTCTTTCCTGTGCAGACCTCTTCTGACATCAGCCTCTTTCACAAAATAATGCCTCCAAACAGAGAAATAAAGCATAGGAGCTCTGTAGCTCCAGTGAGCTGTCAGGATTTTCCTTACCCTGCAAATAACTTGACCTTCTCTCTTGTGCCAGCTCTGTCTGCATCCTGTTCCATGATCCCCATCCAGTGGGGGAGCACACAATCACACAGGCTGCTGTGGACCATTTGGAGAAGACGCGTGGTCTGCACCAAGGAAAGCAGGTTTGGAGCAGAGCTGCAGCCTTGGGAGAGCTCCCACAGCCTTCCAGGGAGCTCCTCAACTGTGAGGCAGCAAATTGCTACCCTCGAATCAGGACAGCTTTGAAGGCCAGCTCCCAGAAAGGGGAAAAAACATCCACAGTAAATATATATGTGATAATAAATACTGATTTTAGGGCATGCTGCTTTAATTAAAGTAGCTTTCCACCAGCCCTGCAGGAAAACTGCTTTGAAGACGAAAAAAAGGAACCCCAAACTTTCCTATACCTTTGGCAGCTCTTAGTCCAGCCTTAAGTAAGTTCAGTGGCAGACACGTGTCAAAAGTAGTTTCTGTACCAACAGCCCAGGTATTCTGGAATCAGGATAGGAGCTGTATGAGAAAGGAAGCCTTTACAGTACATGTGGGCTAAGAGAAAGGATTTACCTGCTGCTCTCTCAAAGCTCAGATAGCTTATGTGCTCTTGTTTGTTTTTTAAAGGGGAAGAGAGACATTTCCACCATAGGTGATCTTTTTCTTCCTTGAAGATTTTATAATCTCTGAAGCAAAAAAGGCTGGAGCCTGTTTTGAAACTACAGCTCTTAAAAAGGCAACTGCTTACGGGAATAATACAATGAAAACACAGTTACAAATCCAGATGATTAAGTAGAGTTATCTAAAGTAGGCTATATAAAAATCAATTCCAGGAACCTCATCAGAACCCAGAGGCATATTAGTATTTAAATATAAGCATTTTCAAATCTGACCATTATTATATGTCCATTATATATATCTAATGCTATTTATACCTCAGCACATTCCTGAGCTGTGCACTCACTTCCTCACTAAGGGTAAAAATGTCTAATCTTCCTTTCAATTGTATCCTTCTTATAGACATCACTTGCAGTTAAGTAGACTTCACAGTTTCCTCACATTGCTTTGGTTCACCAATATAATGGTTTCTGTGGGAAATCTAGATTAAAACATAATGAGCTGAAGAACATGGTATTTGGCCTTTATTTTCTGGAAGGGACACACCTAAGGACCGTTGCTGTCACTGCAATGTCCTGGACAGAACTGGTAGCTGCTCTGTTTAACACTCCATCTCCTGGAGAGCAGATGGGCAGCAGACAGTCATACCTGGTAATAGCTGTGCCCCCTCCTGGAAACAGCAGACAGGGTGAGCATCAATTCATATCTAGTAATTGATTGTAGAAGGGAAAGGTTAGATAGTATAGATGTGCCTGCACAGAGCTTTCAGACTCACAGCTTGTTTTGAGCATAGCAAAGTGTATGTATGTGCTCTAGATTCACATGATAAATGTGTAGTCTCTCAGTTCTGAGTCAATGACTAACATTACTCCATCTGAAAAACTGAGCTGCCCAGAAAAAAAAGAGTAGTTTCATCCAGCATTATACCTATAAAGTGCAGTTTAAAAAAAAAAACACACAAGAAAAGCTGACAAAACCCAGAAAAGCTGCTAGAAAAAATCTAAACAGTACAAAATAAGGACTGTCTGTATAAATCTCACTTTATTTTTTGCATTTATTATATCCACACTGGCCTCTCTTTCATTATATTTCTATACAAAACGCACACTGACTCTGGTCATGATTAAAGCTCTCACCTCCCTACAATTTGCAATTGCAACCAAGTTTTCTGCCATCAAGATTCAAGGTGATTAATTTGCACTTCATTTCCATGACTGTGGTAGCACTTAATCAACAAAGTCCCTACCTAGATGTATTTATATAGATATACATGTATATATACACACATACATACATACACAGGACAAATACTGCTGCAGTTATTTTCGCCTCCCATGGTCAGAGTGTCAGTCATCCTAGAAGGTGAAGGCATACACCACTCCCACAACCACAATATTTCCAATTGTTGCAATTATGGCAATCCATAGTAATATGGCATCATTTGAAGAACGGGATGTCTCTTCTGGCGGATTCTGCATGGAAGAAGCTGCATGGACATTGGCGGATGAGTTAAACAGGGAGTACTCTGTGCTAAAGTCCTCGTTGGGTGAGTCCATAAAGGCTCCTCCCATAACAGGAAGCTGTGAAGAAACACACAGCAAAATTAGATTAAAGCCTCATGTCTCTATTTGCTTTGTCTTAAAGCCATTAAAAAAAGAAACCACTAAACAACCTGCAAAATTATTATTTCATGTACATGGTGCTAAGCTGTCGGGAACCTCACACACACACATGTATTTTACACTATATCTTCTATAACTTTCATGGACATTCTGCATCAAATGTCTATTGCTGTTAGAATCCATATTATTGCACAAAACCAATAATACTACATGTAATTTATACAGAGCTAGCACACTCTAAATCAACCTAAATAATTACATAGATTTAAAAAGAGTCTCCATAAAGCATTCCTATAGGAAAAGGCATATTTAAAGCACTGCATCTGTTTTGCAGCTAATGATTACCAGCAGTGGGCTCATGCTGCACTGAAAGAGGAATTGATGCAGGGAGTTCATTCCCCTGTCATGCATGGCTCAAAAGCAAACCCTTGGTTTATATGGACATTGTTGCAGAAGTTGTTACTGTAAAAGAGGTGGAGTGTGTGCAATGCACTAACTTCATTTGCAAAACACACCACTGCAAAGATGCAGGACTCAAAAGCTTAAACAGCAGGAAACTTCTATGAAAGGCAAGACCCTCAACAAGGTATACTCCACAGCAAGGAAGTGTCAGGCTTCTAACAAACACCTTTTGCACCACAGACAACTCCTATTAGGAAGTATAAAGCACCAGATTTTCTCAGCAGGATGGCAGTAATTCAGCATAAGAATATGGAAACAAAATTAAAAAGGAATCCTTTACTTTTGCCCTCATGCAGGTTTCAGTTGTCTTCCTAACCTCAGTGCAGCACAAAATTCTTGTTCGAGCAGGAAAAGGTTAGGTATTGCAGAGCCAGGACTGTCTACCACTTCTAAGAAAAGGCTCCCACAAAAGCGTTTTGCTTTCATATGGTTTCTTGTACTTTTAGGAATGCAGGTCTGGGAGCATCTGCCCTGCTTCAGAGCCCAGCCTCTGCAGTCACCTGCAGCTCAAGGACATACATAGAGTTTAGGAATGACCTGCATCACAGCAGCCTCACTGCTTACTTAGATGCAGATTCCTGTGACATACACACTCGTTAAAAAAAAAAAAAAAAGTCTAAAATCTGCTGAGCAACCTCAGAAACCCAACCTGTTACGTACTGCAAGAAGAGTAGGAATACCAAGGGGGCTCCTAAAGCCTCAGGTCTCTCCATATTCACAACTAAAAACCCAGAGCATTGCAGCAGGTTGACCAAACCAGTGTCAGAACCAGTGTACAAAAAAAGGGTCATGTGTCCAACTACCTCTGCCAGGTAGTTCATTTACCTGAAATGTAAACGCTCCATAAGGGCTTTGCTGGCTGAGCACTGACTAAAATGACTGACTCATCTTTTCCAGTAATGAGGGCACCGCCATACTTTTGGGCCTAACATGAGCAGTTCTGTCCTGCCTGTATCCAGCTGGGAGCCCTAGCAAAGGACCTCTGATCGTATCACCTGTCCCCATTTCACACACTGGGTAGGCTCCCTTTCCTTTTCACTGGCATCTGAACTCTAACCCTATCTTCACATTCATGACCCATTCTCACCTTAGTCATCTGCTCATCATGGCACAGTATCACCTCCCACTTCCATGTGGTTTATAGGAACTCAACACATTGCCTTACCCACACGTTAAATTTCAAACAAGCACCTTTTTGCCTTATCCCACATCTCCCACACATCTGCAAACCTCTTCCCTTCAAAACTGCAACCAAAAATCATCATCTTTGATAGCTTCCTGGATAGATATAGTGTATTGTTCTCCTAAAAAAAAACAACCCCCCCCCCCAACAACAACAACAAAAAACCACGCTCCTGCTGCAACGTCTTCCTGGTTTGATCAAAAGAATGTGAATGTTTCCCTGAGATCAGTCAGGCTAGCACGAGGGAAGCATATACATGGTTCAGCCCAACACAGAGTACCAAACCTGAAGCAAAGACATTTCAAAGGGAGCAACGGGCTTGAGCTGGCTTCAGCCCCATATATTCTTTCCTGGTGGCAATTTGGGACACCCAGCATCCTGACAGTGAGCACGTTATAAAGGCCAGTAATGGCAATCACACCAGTATTGTGATTCAACTGTATAAGTAAGTGTACCCTTGTGATTTCAGAATATCGCTGCATCACTCTGCTAAATCAATAATCCCATGTAACATCAAGTATCTGTAAAGTAAACCTTTATATTAAACACTGCACTCGCCATTTGTGTGGAATACCTAAAAGAAGCTGGTCAGAGAGCACTGGACTCTGCCAAGCTGAACCCCCCAGGCTAAATAAAAGCCCTTCCTGCTGTAGTAGCAGGAGTAGCACGGTTAGTGCTAACAGCATCACAAAACTGCTGGAGTTACCATGGCCTATGAATAATAGAGGAACCAGCCTTGCCTTCCTGTGGCCACATCACGGAGAGCTGCCTTCAACACTAAATGCCATTGGCTATGAACTACCATGCCCAATACCCACTCAGATGGGAAAAAAATCACTCTCTTTAAAGAGCTTATCCTTTAATTCCTGCATCTCACCTTGATTCTGCCAGCAACCCTTCCCTTTGGTGCTGCACCCCTCCTGCTGGTGGGACCTGTGCTATGAAGGCAGTTGAGCAGGACGCAATCAGAGGATAAACCATGTCAACCATGGTGCTGCCTGCAACCTACAAAGACTGAGCATCCTAAGGATCAAGTGGCTTTTATTTGATTGCTATTCATGGCATTTTAGAGAGCTGTAAAAGATGGTCTATCTTTCAAAGCTGACCACTAAACGGATTTAATTTGAACTAGAAAATACCACGTCACATTCAAAATGAAAAAGTGAATGATGAAGTACCACGATGGCTACGCTGTATTACCTAATCCACATTAAATAAGATTATCCTTGAGATCAAATAGGATTAAACAAACATATTTTGCAAGAAACCAAACAGGAAATAGCAAAAGTCAACTTTGATACATTTCCTCTACATCATTTTTGCTTCCAGTTTCAGCATCAAGTGCTTTAAAGAAAACAAAACTATCAATTTCGCAACAAGCCATGCTTAATGATGTTTGGAATCCAATCCACCAACCTTTTTATGGCTCGGGATTGTGTAAGAAAAACACTGGTCAGCTGAATCAGAATTGCTTTTTATTTAAGGAGCGCCAGAAAAGACAAAGCTGATTTCAAACACGTGACAAGTGGAGTTATGCAGCAGCGTTCCCATCTAACAGCTATGGAGATACTAGAGATCTTTGTAGCAAAGAATGAGCACCGGCAACAAGATGCTCAGTCTGAGGTACTTGATTCTTTAGCAAATTTTATTGGAACCAGCCCTTAGGTCTAGACCAATTGTGCCCTTAGGTGGAACAACCACCACAGAGGCAATCAAAACGTGAATGTTCACTGCAGCGGTCCACATATAGGCAGTAAGAAAGATGTATGTGTATGTGCGCCCAAGATGGTGAGAGGTCACGAGAACTGTTCTGATGAGTGATATCTGGTTTGTGGGTCATGAGTTCTGCACCCTGAGTTATTTGTGCTGACAAGCTCCCACACTGCTAGTCCACATGGTGCTGTCACAGAGGCAGGCAGCATCCGTAAACCAGCACAGCTACACACGCACTGCAAACCACGTCAGGCCTGAATCCTAAACAGTATAAGGCTCAAAAAGGCTGTTTTCTCCATCTGAGAGGAACACATGGTGAAACAGCTCATCTGAGTCTCCGAGAGGCTTGCAGTGACCTGTGATAAAGCACTGACATTCAGCACCTGGCGCAGGCTCCTTGTCTAAAACTGACTGCCAGTTTTTCTATTTGTAGGTCAGTAGCACTTCACTGTAGATCTGGAAACAAACCTTACTGCCAATTTTCAGTTTGCAGCAATTCTCTCTTACTAAATGTGCATTCTCCCTTTTCGTTACTAAAACAGCCTCAGTAAAGAGCACAGGAACAGCCATATGGGATCCGACAAGAAGTCCATCTCCCCTGTACACTAGCCCTGAAGGTGGCCAAATTTGAGGCTTAGGAAAGAGTAAGAACAGAAACAGAAAAACATATCTGATACTACCCCTTAATATCTCAAGGCCTGCAACTCTTTTCAACATAGAAGCTTCATAAACCGGATGCTGTTTCTGTGCATTCAGTAACTCTCAAAGAATTCCACTACCACGAACTTGTCCAGGCTCTGCCTGCGCTCATGTAGAGCTGAGCATCCTCCTTAGTCCGGCCTCTTGCTGCCATTTAACAGCAAGGGTTTCCCAGTGACAGAGGGACACAAATCATCCTTGGAAAATGCTCCTCCCTTTCCAGTGGCGAGGGGCAAGCACAGACGATTAGTATCAACCAGCAATCCATCTTTTTGGTAGATTGACTTTGGTGAGATGAATCTCATCCTTAGTCTTGACGTCATTGTGCTCCCAGAAGAAGTAACATTGCTGCTCCCTTCCTCCACAATCTTACGTGAGATACTTCATTAAGGGCGGTGAGACATCCAGTCCCTGCACTAACGGGAGCTGTGAGGTGTCTGTGCTAAGCAGCAGGCTAAGGACAGAAAAGCCCACAATGATTTCTGCGCTTTCCCTGGTTGCCCGCGTCTCTGCTGAAGCAACGCCACACCAATTTACAGCAGCCAAAAGCATCGCCCATGTCAGCGACAATGCAAAGAGCTCTTTTAGCCTCAGCGAGTTTTCATGGTTGAGGCAAAGCTGTGCAGCTTGTGCGCTGCCCTCCCTGAGAGCACTGGGCAGGGAGGCCGGGCAAAGGGTTAACTGGAAAATGAGACGCTGAGGAACGTGGCACGAGCAGATGGCGAGAGCGGATGCTGCCGTAGCTCTGATCCCAAATGAAATTCTTCTCCTAGCGACTACACGCTGATAGTAGCGCTAATAGTATGTTTCTTGCTAAATGGCTATAAATCCAAATAATTAAATAACAACAGGCAGAAAAGCAAACAGCAAAATGCCAAGCGCTAATGAGAACACCCCCTGTGCTGAATACCTCCTACTGACATCCATGAGCATGTTCTGGGGTCATAAGGAGGAAAGCAAGGCTCTTGAATAGTTAAGTGATACACTTCCCAGTTAGCAGAAAAATCCTATTTTATGGCAGATATGATTCATGTAAAAGGGGAAAAGAAAGGCAGGTAGCAGTCACTGATACTCTAAAACTGATGGTTTTCTTAAGTAACGTCACATGAAATCCATCAGTTAGCAACAGCATTGCGCCATTGGGAATGAGATGACATTCATTTTGGAGTCAGACGGAAAATTTGTGCAACGCTCGGTTCCTACCACCCTAGCGGGAAGCCCAGCTTGGCCCAGCCACAGAGAGCGGGGCTGGGGCTTCCAGGAGCCCGTTCCGGGCAGACGGGAATCCCTGCAGCGGCTGCGTGGGGCGCGCGGAGCGCCGGCCTCGCTCCGCGTCTCCCTGACGCCGTCCCGCGTCGCACGGGAACGCGCCGGCCTTGCCGGCCTGCTCCCCGCCAGCGCGCGGCCTAGCACGTGAACAAAGCACTTACTGCTCTGATCCGTGCGCTGGCGACACCTGGAGAACCAGACCCTTCTGTGCACGTCTTGCCGAGCGTCCCCGACTACTGACAGCACGAGGGTTGGGCACACGGGGACGACCGCGGCTGTTACTCTGTGTTCACTGCAAGTGGATTAATTTAAATGCATTAACCGACACACACGATCAGAATGAAAGAGGACCTAAGGCAATCTTACTTAATTCGATTAAACAGGTAGGTCTAATTCTGAACGGGAGGATCCGTGCAACAGCTTTATGCAGTTAACTTCAAATTCTCATTTTAATTAATTCATGGAGAGGGCTGGGAACCAGGGGTCATTCCCAGCAGCAGAAGAAACAGCTCCAAAACTAGTTGCAACTGAAAAATTGTTTAAAACACCAGACCAGGCATAGACAAAAGCAGTGACTTTTTTAATGACCCTTCAGTATTCAGCAGTCAGGCCGCTTCTGACAAAAACTAAAATAATCTCAAGGGGCGGGTGTTAGGGGCAAGGCCTAGAAAGATAAAATATTTTAGACATCACCTTATTTCTATCGAGACAAACAAAAAGACTTGGTAGGAATAATAATAAAAAAAATCATCATCATAGTTGCTCCAATCCCTACTACACAGCCCATGAAACATTAATCAGCTGAGGTTTAAGCTATGCCACACTAACAGGCTAATATAGTTTAGCTCTGTTTCATCAGAGAAATTACTATTCCATGAAGGCTCAAAAGGCTTCCAAACCATGTGTCTGGTGTTGTACACAGTGAGGTTATACTGCAAATACAAGTTGGGATATATTTGGCTGCTGAGGAACGTAATAGCTATCACTGCAGTTTTGCTGTACCTAATGGCATGATATAAATGTCTCAGTTTTCAGCACCTTTGGGACAGCTACCTGGAATCTCTCCTCAGATATGTTACCTAAGAGTTAGTTCAGTGCTCCTCACATAGTGTAAGCCCACTGGAATAAGAAATTTGTTTATGATGACTTACAGAGATAAACCCTCATGCAGGCAACCACAAAGAAGCCTAAGAAAGGAAATCAGAGCAGTTTCAGCCTAATCCACAACATTAACACATTAACTTCCTTAAGTTTATGTATGCTTTCAGACTAAGCCCTCCCTCAAAAAAAAAAAAAAAAAAAGCAGAGGAGACAAAAACAATGATGTATGGGATTTTATTTGGGCTATATATCATTTTCATCCAACATTTTTCCTATTTTCTTCTTTCCCTTTGCATTGCATTAAATTCTCAAAATAAAAAAAAAGGGAGAAAGGGGATGAGGGATGATGATGTTCAGTTCACATCTTTCATTTTTTACTTCAGGCTATTTCTGTAAACACTCCTACTTGTTTACTTGGCCAGAAGTTCCAGACAAGCCAAATGATAAACCAGGGTAATGTATTGAGGCGAGATGGACACAAAGAGGAGTCTGACACACAGTGAGCCCTAGCAAGCAGCACTCCCCAGGTCTGCCAGCCTTACAGACAGGGATGACGGCAGTCACAGAAGTCAGGCAAAGTGTTGGAAAAGGGAGGAATGTTGTGTTATTCCTGATGTGATACAATCCCTGCACCTGGTGGACCGCCGTGCTCTTGGACCACAGCCGGCACAGCAGGCTCAACACACAGCTTGAACAACCTATGGACTGTCCAGTCCATATAGCCTATCATGTAATGCTTCAATAGCAGGTTATACCTGGAGAATTTGCTTAAGAGCTAATCTGATTCCGGCACAGCAGGCTCAACTCACAGCTTGAACAACCTATCGACTGTCCAGTCCATATAGCCTATCCTGCAATGCTTCAATAGCAGGTTGTACCTGAAGAAGAGAATTTGCTTAAGAGCTAATCTGATTCGCTTCCAGTTTTGCCTCACAAGCGAGCTAAGCACACATCACAGAAGAGAATCTAAATTAGAATGTAAAAAAACATTGCCAGTTCCCTGATTTCTAGCATTTGAAGAGGAATTTCTGTTATTGAGAAAAGCGCTTTCCAGAAAGGATGATTTGTTGAATTTAATGAAGAAACAAAAAGCTAGACCACTTGTAAATCCTGCACGCTTTGGAACTTACTGCCACCAGGCAACCTTTTCAACCAGCTTCTAGGATTTACTGTTCCCCAGCAGAGCCCAAGGAGGACAATTAACATGTTTTTCCCATCCACTTTGGTGCAAGGTCAGTAGGCTTAATTTGAGTGCACTCCCCAAAAGCCTTAAAATAAGCTTTGAAACTCTTGCTTTGAAGTAGAAGAGGAGCATCAGTGCGGCCCATTTCACCATCTGTTTTGTGGGGGGCAAAAAACCTTCAACAAAGTGTGAGAAGAGCCTTCATCGGAGCCAAATATTCCATATGTTCCTACAAATGAAGGTTCTTAAGACCAAAGTTTTGCTCATTTACAAAGGCCATCAAGGGATGATAAAGTGTGGCTCAACTAGACAGCAGCTGCTGACACCTTTATCGTGCCAGACAAAAACAGAAGAGCCAAACCATCTGTGCTTGTGTGCTTATGTTTAAGACTGTTCAAACAGTTCAAAGACATTACAGAAAAATACAATAAATTATACATTGATTCCTTCACTCTAAACAAGTGTGTGTCTATATATGTGTATGCAAAGTAGCACTCCTTTGTGGCTGTCTGTGTATATATATATATATACACACACACAGGATGAGCGCAAATCAATATATAATTTATTATACTTCTATTTGCAATTTGATATTTGTGCTTTGAACTGTTACAGTTGGTGGGACTGCTCAGGATAATTAAAGGCATGAATATGGAACAGATTTTCTTGGGAATGAATTTTTTCCTACCCAGAAATGATTTCTGTAAGGGTTCGTTCAGTCGTTTCTGTGTTACGGAAGGGTGAGCAGGGGACAGCCAAAAGAAAAAACAAATTTGCTTTTTCTATTTTTTTTCCTCATTTATTTTCAGTGAAGTTTGAACTAAAGAATCACTACTGCTCTGGAGAGCTGGAACAGTTCAGAGAGGAGAGAAATGGAAGAAAAAGGATCTGTGCCTAACTATCTCTTTTAGTTTTGAAATCTATGGAAAACCGTGGATGAAGATGGACCGGGGCCAGAAACAGAAGACAGAGGACCAATTACACTAGTTATCTTGGACAGATCAACCAAAATGACCAGGTATCATGTAGACCTAACTCAACTTCTGGATTTTCCATCAAACACATTTCTGTGGCTCTTCCTTGTCTTCTAAAAGATGAATTTTGGACTCACTTGACTTTTTAGCTTGGAGAAATACCGTTTTGGAGCAATATTTTGAAAATAAATGTTTTGAGAAACTTGCAATTAACAGAAGAGCAACGTTATTGTCCCCGAGTTTGATACAATTCAGGTATGGAAAAAGCCGACACCACCAGGACGGCTGAGAAGTTCAGGGGTCTAATCAGCAGCGGGGCTGGCACCAACATTGCACGGGTTTCTCTGGGGCCTCTCAGCCAAAGTCAAGTCATAGACTCTTCTTCAAACCTGAAGTTCAGAGCCCTTGGGACTTCCGATGGTGAAAGCCATGAAACAACAAAAGAGCTAATGACTATCGCGGTGCTTTAAGACACAGGGTTGAAACCGCAGCAAGACAGTACACCCACATATCCTGATACTCCCTTGCACGTGTGACTATACACACATTTTTATGGTGAGAATTAACTTCAACTACTGGAAGGCAGATAGCAGTACAGCAGTCTAAAATAGCAGGTGCCTGATTTGCACCTAGATCTGCAAGTCTACTTTGTGAAGCCCTTAGTACAAGTCCTATGAAAATTGTTACAAAAATGCCTGGCAGAAGCCCAGCATTCTCACTACTGGAGACCTTAGTGTGTGACTGATTCTCCAGTTCCCAATACAAGTGAAAAGCTGGCTGGGTTCCTCTGCCCAAAGCTTACATATTAAGATAGATAATGAGCTCATTCATTATAATTATAATACTTTTACCCATGTTGAGACTTCATTTATAACCCCACTGAAGCCAATTTAAACATCAGTAAAATATCATAGTCTGATTTCTTCATGGCCTTAATGAGCATATGGTAAGGAAACTAGATGGTAAGGAGATAAAAATTGGAGAGATTATGAAGGGATTCTCTGAGGAGCAACGAGCTGTGCTACAGGCCTG